CCACCGCAACCACGCCTCGCCCTTCACCAATTCGCATGACCAGCGTGGTGAAGTATGGTTAAACAAAATCCCCAATGAACGACAAGGCTTGGTGAGAGGCCATCATCCGGGCCGTGTGTGAAAAACCAGAGTCGACGCCGCCGTGGTGTCGTCGTTTGAACTCTGCAACTTGCAAGCGAGAGGTCACCAGCGCGTTCTTCTGGCGCGGTAGTTTAAAATACGGGCACTTTTTAACCCCCCCCCCCCACCACGGCCACCCCTTACCACCACACCCCGGTTCTGTCCACATGGGAGTAGAAGTGCTATAAATGTCCAAATGGTGGGCCACTTTGTTCAACTATCCTTTGTGGCCAGGTGGCTTTTGACAAAGAAAGTTAATACCGCGGTGGGCTTTGTCTGGCAGGATGGGTGATGGTTTAGTTTTATTTTTGTTGTGCGTTTGGGCGATTTGGTAACCTTTATAGCAATCTGCCACTCCGATCGTGTTTTTTGTACAGGTTGTTGGTTGGAAAGTTCTTACCCCGCGCCCGACTGGGACATCTGTGGGAAAATAAAAGCGCTTTATAGCTCATAGGATTCCTCCAGTCTGAATACAAATTCTGATTCTGAAGTGTGGATGTTCCCATGCGTGGATGGGTTGGCCAAAAATCCTCTCTAGAAGCTTTCGATCTCGAAGCTCGCTCGAGTGTCGCGTTAGGAGGCAATTGCAGGGCTGCACCTTTACCTTGACACGCCGTGAACGATGAGCTGCAACAACGACTGCCAACTGGGGCAGGCAATTTACACTCACACAGCACCGTGTGGTGTATGGTGTGGTGTGGTGTGTGTGTGGTGTGTGTGTGTGGTGTGCGTAGGTGTGTGTTCAGTGTGTGTGAGGTGTGTGTGGTGTGGTGTGTGTGTGGTGTGCGTAGGTGTGTGTGCAGTGTGTGTGTGGTCTGTGAGGGGTGTGTGTGGTGTGTGTGTGCTGTGTGTGTGTGTGGTGTGTGTGTGGGGTGTGTGGTGTGGTGTGTCGTGTGTGTGGTGTCTGTAGGTGTGTGTGTGGTGTGTGTAGGTGTGTGTGTGGTGTGGTGTGGTGTGGTGTGCGTAGGTGTGTGTGCAGTGTGTTGTGTGGTGTGTGTGGTGTGTGTGTGTGTGGTGTGTGTGGTGTGTGTGTGGGGTGTGTATAGTGTGTGTTGGTGTGTGTATTGGTGTTGTGGGTGGTGTGTGTTTCAGGGCTGAGTTGGTTTTCATGGTGAAGGGGAGCGGTGGCACGGCGGTTAGCGCGCTCACGGCCAACAACAGTGACGATTATCTAAACCGGTCCTGGGCCTCCTCCCATAGGTCGACTCGGCCTCAAATGAGAAGTGTGTAAGCATCGCCACGAGGGGAGATAAAAGCGGCCACCCCACCTCCTCGTGTGCCGTGTCAGAGAGTTGCTCGCTAACAGCACTTGCCCCCAAAGCGTGGTACGGAAAACGCCGGGGGATATTTGCATTTGTGTATGGTTCTCATGGCGAAGCTGAGCCCTCTGTAAAAATGCGTCCCCCATCTCGATTAGAGGCGTCGGGAGCCCGCGGGGCTTTGTGCACAAGGTGACCCTTAACCTCCATCAAATGCACGCGCGCACACGGCGGCAGCGATCCTATTAAGGCGCCGTCGAGGGAGGATGGTCAGGGATCCAGCCTCGCCGCTGATGTTGGCTGTGCCCGGAACGTCGAACTAAGCACGCGGTGCAGTGCGCTAACCACTACATCACAACTTCCCCCCCCCCCTCCTCCATTAAATATAAAAATCTTGATTATAACAGATTGTTGGGGAAAGTGCTGTTCGCGAGTTCCTATTAAGGCCGGAACGGTCTACAAAAGGAATGGAGCAACTAACACACCCGGCCGCCTTTGTCTCTCCCGAGTGCTGATATTTATTGTTGTTTACACACTGCAGCGGGTACGCTTTCAGATGCTAAGTCGACCTAAAGGAAGCCAATTCCCGATTTACCATTATTAATCAGATTATCCCCTGGGCCTGGAATCGAACTCGCAACGCCAGAATGTCCCGCAAGATGCGCGCGCGCGCGCAGGACACCCCGACCACGCTCGCGCTCGCGCGCGCGCACAATCACCAAGCGCGTGGCCGTGCAGGACGAGAGCGAGATTACAGAGCGAGATAACAGCGAGACGACGGCGTGGTGGTGGGAGGGTGGGTGGGAGGGTGGGTGGAAGGGTGAGTGGGTGGGTGGGTCACAGCCCTGAACTCACGCGAACTATTTACCTACCTCGCACGCACAGGCGCACGCTCGCACACACACACACCAAAAACATCCGTCGCCATCCTAGCGCACAATCGCACGCAACCACGCACACACGCACACACACACTCACTTGTGAACACGACAAAGACAAAGCTACCCCGTAGAGCCTTCACAGACTGTTGGGGCAAGTGCTGTTGGCAAGCACATGTGAAGGTATACACACACTCACTTGTGAACACGACAAAGACAAAGCTACCCCGTAGAGCCTTCACAGACTGTTGGGGCAAGTGCTGTTGGCAAGCACATGTGAAGGTATACACACAGTCACTTCTGAACACGACAAAGACAAAGCTACCCCGTATAGCCTTCACAGACTGTTGGGGCAAGTGATGTTGGCAAGCACATGTGAAGGTATACACACAGTCACTTCTGAACACGACAAAGACAAAGCTACCCCGTATAGCCTTCACAGACTGTTGGGGCAAGTGCTGTTGGCAATCACATGTGAAGGTATACACACAGTCACTTCTGAACACGACAAAGACAAAGCTACCCCGTATAGCCTTCACAGACTGTTGGGGCAAGTGCTGTTGGCAAGCACATGTGAAGGCACACACACACTCACTTCTGAACACCACAAAGACAAAAATTCCCCGTATAGCCTTCACAGACTGTTGGGGCAAGTGCTGTTGGCAAGCACATATGAAGGTATACACACATTCACTTGTGAACACGACAAAGACAAAGATACCCCGTATAGCCTTCACAGACTGTTGGGGCAAGTGCTGTTAGCAAGCACATGTGAAGGCATAGACACACTCACTTCTGAACACGACAAAGACAAAGATATCTCGTAGAGCCTTCACAGACTGTTGGGGCAAGTGCTGTTAGCAAGCGCATGTGAAGGCATACACACTCACTTCTGAACACTACAGAGACAAAGATCCCCGTATAGCCTTCACAGACTGTTGGGGCAAGTGATGTTAGCGAGCACCTATGAAGGCCGGCACGGCACACGAGGGGTGATCAGCTCCACGCCGGCAGCCTTTGTCTCCCTGGTGACGATGTTTACACACCGCACCGGGTACACATTTGAGGCTGAGTCGACCTAGGCAAGGCCCAGGACCGTGTTGGCAGTGAGCGGGAATCGAACTCGGGTCGCCAGGTTCGTAGCACAGCGCGCTAACCGCTACACCACAGCTCCCCACACACACGTACACTTACACAAGCACGCACAGACGCAGATACAGACACACACAGAGACCCACTGACACCCCGACTCCGCTGCTATGCGAGGTGTCCCAGCAGTGTACACGATTGGTCGAGCCGAGAAGTCGGGGTGTGATAATGATGACGATGCATTAGGGTCGAACTTCTTTCGCATCGTACGTAGCCAACCGTGCCAATCGGAAGTGCCGGGGGAAGGACAACCGAACGATGACTTTGTTTTTACTCAGCAGGGCCCAAAGGCGTGAATATAAATGTGTCGTTAAACCCGCCACCACCCGACACAGAAAAATTAGTAAGGTTTGCCACGTAAACAGAACGTGCCAATTTGTGGATGATATTTGGTCTCGAAAGCCTCGGCGCCATTCAAGTGGTCGTTATCGTTTCTTGAAGCGAGCGAGGTGTATACGAACATGGAAATATGGATGGTGGAGGAGAGGGGGGGGGGAGAGGTTGGGGGGGGGGGAATTCCGAATTCGTGAAGTGCTAAGCTGAAGCAGTTGGAGGGGGTGGTTGGGAGGGAGGGAGGGAGGGAGGGAAATTTGTCATCAGATTTCGAGGCCTTGGTGGAGGGGGAAGAGACCCCCTAGCAACTTTCCGGGGGGATTCGTTCCCGCGGGTCGTGGATGTGCACGCGCTGCGACTCGCATAGGGCGCGCGTGCGTGTGTGTGTTTGTGTGTGTGTTTGTGTGTGTTTGTGTGTGTGTGTTTGTGTGTGTGTGTTTGTGTGTGTTGTGTGTGTGTGTTTGTGTGTGTTTGTGTGTGTGTGTTTGTGTGTGTTTGTGTGTGTTTGTGTGTGTGCGTGTGTGTTTGTGCGTGTGTGTTTGTGTGTGTGTGTTTGTGTGTGTGTGTTTGTGTGTTTGTGTGTGCGTGTGTGTTTGTGCGTGTGTGTTTGTGCGTGTGTGTTTGTGTGTGTTTGTGTGTGTGTTTATGTGTGTGTGTGCGTGTTTGTGTGTGTTTGTGTGTGTGTGTGTGTTTGTGTGTGTGTGCGTGTGTTTGTGCGTGTGTGTTTGTGCGTGTGTGTTTGTGTGTGTGTTTGTGTGTGTGTTTATGTGTGTGTGCGTGTTTGTGTGCGTGTTTGTGTGTGTGTTTGTGTGTGTGTGTGTTTATGTGTGGAACCCGGGTCGCCAGGTTCGTAGTGCAGCGTAGCGCTAACCGCTACACACACACACGGAGCTCCCCCCCCCCATCTCCCCTGGCTCTGATTCTGCACGTAGCCCTGTGCCCCCAGCCCTGGAACGCGGAGGGGATGGTAATGGGGTTGGGGGTGGGGGGTGGCGGGGCTGAGGGTGGGGGCTGTAGGAGGTGTGGAGGATGGGGAGAGAACACAGGAGGAGGGGGCTGGGTCGTCCTCGCAAAATTTCAGAGGCAGCAGTCGCCCCCCGCCCCGCCCCTCGCTCGCCTCCTTCCGAGTGGCGGTCACAATCGTGGCGAGGGGTGGGAGAGGAGGAAGGGGACGAGTGGATGGGTGGTGGTGGGGGGGCAGTCGATGCAGGAGGGGGGGGTCATGCTGATAAATACACGTGGGTTTCTGCGGCACCCGCAGATCAACGCCACTCGCGACTTAAAAGTGGCAGCAGCAGCAGCAGAGGCAACAGCTTCAGCAGCTTCAGCAGTTGCAGCAGCAGCATAAGTACCATCAGCGAACCATCACCGCCAGCAATCATCGTAATCATCGCCAGCAGCAGAGCGGACTCGTGCCAGCGATCAGGTCGCAGAGACGGCGCCTCCCCTTGGCGCGCGTTGAATGAACGAGCCCACGACGTTTGCGAGTGAGAGAATCTCCTCTGCCTGACATCTCTCTCTCTCTGCCTTGCCATGACCGCAGCCGAGAGCATGGAGGCGCTGCCCGTGGTAGCGGCGGGCAGCGGGGCCCAGCTGTGGGACATCTCGCACCCTCCCGTGCTCTTCTTCCTGCTCTCCGCTCTGCTCATCCTTCTCGTCACCCTGGAGGCTCGCAAGCACGGCCGCTCTCATCAGCAGAAGCAGCAGCAGCAGCAGCAGCAAAAGAACAGCGCTCCCGACCCTCCGGGTCCCTTCGCGTTCCCCATCGTGGGCAACTCCCTCCAGCTGGGACCGATGCCTCACCTGACCCTCACCGCCATGGCGCAGCGCTACGGGCCCGTGTTCCGCATCCACCTGGGCCACGAGCCCGTGGTGGTGCTCACGGGCGAGGAGATCATCCGCGAGGCGCTGGTCAAGCGCGGCACCGAGTTCGCGGGCCGGCCCGACTTCCCCTCCTTCGCGCTCGTGTCGGGCGGCAACAGCATGTCGTTCACCAACTACAGCGAGCTGTGGCGCATGCACCGGCGGCTGGCGCACTCCACTTTGCGCGCCTTCTTCACGGGCACGGCGGCGACCCGCCGCGTCTTCGAGGGCCACGTGCGCCTCGAGGCAGCCGAGCTGTGCGCGATGCTCGCGGCGGCGACGAGCCGGGCGGGAGGCGGCGTCGTCGACCCCAGCGAGCCGACGGTGTTGGCCGTGGCCAACGTCATCTCGGCGGTGTGCTTCGGCAAGCGCTACGAGCACGACGACGCCGAGTTGCGCGACCTCCTGAGCAACAACGAGCGCTTCAGCAAGACGGTGGGCGCCGGCAGCGTGGTGGACGTAATGCCGTGGCTCATGCGCTTCCCCAACCCGGTGCGCTCCATCTACCGCGACTTCGAGCAGATGAACAACGAGTTCTTCGCCTTCGTGCAGCGCAAGGTGCAGGAGCACCGCGACTCGTACGACCCCGCGGCGACCCCGCGCGACATGATCGACGCGCTCATCGGGCACATCGAGGGCGGAGGCGGCGACAGCGACGAGGAGGGAGACGCGGCAGACGGGGCCGGCGCCGCTGCTGGTGGCGCTGCTGGTGGCGCTGGAGGCGGTGCGCGCGAGGAGCCCCTGAAGTTGGGGCCGCAGTACGTGGACAGCACCCTCACGGACGTGTTCGGGGCCGGCCAGGACACCATGTCCACGTCGCTGTTGTGGTTCGTGCTCCTGTGCGCCAAGCACCCGGACCTTCAGGCCGACATGCAGAGGGACATCGACCGCGTGGTGGGACGCGAACGGCTGCCACGCCTGGACGACCGGCCGCAGTTGGCGTGCGTCGACGCGTTCGTGTGCGAGATGATGCGTCACGTGAGCTACGTGCCCTTCACGATCCCGCACGCCACCACGACGGACACTGAGCTCAATGGCTACCGCATCGCCAAGGGCACCGTTGTGTTCGTGAACCAGTGGTCGGTCAACCACGACCCGGCAATTTGGCGCGACCCCGAGCGCTTCGACCCGAGTCGCTTCCTGGACGAGACGGGCGCGGCGCTCGACCGCGACATCGCGCGCCGGGTCATGATCTTCTCGTCGGGCAAGAGGAGGTGCATCGGCTACGAGATGGCCAAGATGCAGCTCTTCCTCTTCTGCAGCGTCTTGCTCCACCAGCTGAGCATGTCCGTGCCCCCCGGGCACGTCGTGAGCCTGGAGGGCGTGTACGGTCTCTCCCTGAAGCCCAAGCATATCTCGGTGGCGTTCACGCCGCGCGAACAGCTGCTGGGTCGGCCGGGAGAGGCAGAGGAGTGACGCGAGAGAGAGTGAGGATATTACTGTGTTAGTGAGAATGTAAGTGAGAGTTTTGGGTGGGGGGCACAGAGAGTGAGCGAGAGTAAGAGCGCGCATGCGTGACAGTGAGTGAGTGGGTGGGTGAGTGAGTGAGTGAGAGAGTGAGTGAGCGAGTGAGTGAGTGAGTGAGTGAACGAGAGAGTGAGCGAGAGAGTGAGTGAGCGAGAGAGTGAGCGAGAGAGTGAGCGAGTGAGTGAGCGAGAGAGTGAGCGAGAGAGTGAGCGAGTGAGAGAGTGAGCGAGAGAGTGAGTGAGCAAGCGAGTGAGCCAGAGAGAGAGAGAACACTTTGGGACAGCGAGTGAGAGCGCGGGGGGGGGGGGGCAGTGTAAGATAAATTTTAAAAAACAAAAATCATGAATACGGGATTGACAGGAGGCGCGATCCGGGTGAGAGAGTGAGATCATATTTTAGAGCGAGTGAAGAGATGAACGGGACAATTGCAAGAAGACACGACGTAGATTGGAGAGAGATCGTGTGCGAGTGGAGAAACCAGAGTTGTGTGATACATACTCATGCTGATGATGATGATGAGTTCGTTGAGAGTGCGGAGGGAGCGGCTACGCAGTGGTTCGCGCACAGCGCCGCACACGCTGTGGACAAGTTCGATTTACAGCCGCAGCGAGTGATATTTGAACGTGTCCTGCGGCCTCGTCCGTATAGGTCGACACGGCCTTAACACCAGTACACGTAACTGGCATGGCGTACGTGAGCATCGCCACTTGGGGAGACAAAGGCGGTCGGGCGTCGTGACGGCTTTGATGGGTGGTGGATAACAGCACTTGCCCCAACATACGATGGAGACTATAGGGGGGGTGGGGCTTTGCATGTATTTGTGTGTATCTGCGTATCATGTACGCACATATACACACTTGCGAGATGTGTGGTGCAATTTGACGATTACATTCACGATTCCTCCATCGATAATTTTTTCATCGATTATTTCCATTCGTTCGCACAGCCGACGGTGGGAACTGCGGTCACTACTGGGTTCATCTCGCGCGATGATAGCTGCAAAAAAAAACCACGTTAATCGATTACATTGATCGAATCGTGACATTGTATTGGTGTCGACGACGGTGCAATTCGTTACGGCCTCGCTTCTCATTAATTGCGTACGCAGAGCAATCAATCCCAAGGGCTGCCGTGGTAAATAGAGACCCAAAACTCCCTTCCGTGTCGCCACGCCAGGAACACGTATTTCATTCAGCCCATCGGCTGATGAGCAATCGAAACTGATAACAAACCCGAGTTGAATCGAGCTGATATGAGCCAAAGAAAAACATAACCAAGATAATATGTTCAAGATGATATTGGGTCCAGAAATGTATAGTAATTGTAGTAATATTATACATGTTATTATAATAACACTATTGGTCTGGATGGGCAAACTCGCGTGATTATATATATGTGTGTGTGTTTGTATTGTCACTGAACAAAAATCGGGCCGACTTTATATTTGCTGACCTCACCAAGGGTCTAATTCACGCGTCGTTGGCGAATGTTTATTTGGTATCATTTGCTGCAGAGCTACGTTGATCGATCACCCCTCCACCATCGATAACGGAGGGGGGGGGTGCGGAGTTCGCACAGAGATCACAACAAAGACAAAGATCCTCCCCCCTATAACCTTAACAGACTGCTGGAGCCAACAGTCACACTCACTCACACACTCACACACACACACTCACACACACCCCCACACACTCACACACAAACACACTCACACACACACCCACACACTCACACACAAACACTCACACACTCACACACAAACTCACACACACTCACACACACTCACTCACACTCACTCACACACACTCACACACACTCACTCATACACACTCACACACAAGCACACACACTCACACACAAACACACTCACACACGCGTGCACACTCACTCACACACACTCACTCACACACTCACTCACACACACACACTCACTCGAATACACCCAGAGCCACATCGCAAATTTGCCTCGACGAATCGCTACTTTATTTTTTTTGCGGACCTAGTGAGCCACACAGAGACACACAGATACATTGGGCCAAAACATATTTTATTCTAAACAAAATTTATAGATGAAATATAATAAAAATCGAATCTGATGAATAGATATTGTTAACATATTAGGAAGATCATCAGACCCAATAGTCGCGTTTCCGCTCAGATACAAAACGAGACCCCCCCCCCCCCACTCCCGTTCGATCTCATTTGAGTTGAGTGCCCTTTGAAACAAGTTGATAACCCACGCCCGCATTTTTATATATATCAAACGCACACAACTCAAGCTCGTCAACCGTGGCAGTAAAAGATACAAACCGTCGACTTTTCCTGCGGTGGCTAACGGGCCATGTAAAGAAGCTGAAGGATCAATGCCCGAAACGTCGCCAATTATATGCATATTATTTTAAGGCGACAGTGTTGCCAACGATCGTCGTGGGTTTGTTAATTGTGTTTGTGCACCACCGCCAACGCACACAAAATAGTTTAATCGCATACACACGTTTCTTATTTGATTACACAACTATACATATTTATTTGCAGTTCACGCTCAGAAGTGAGACGAATGGTAGCGGCACCAGACCGTGAGATACGGTGCCGGGGTGGGAGGAAGGATTTAATCCAGCAGTGGATAAGACAATGGAGGATGTTGATGACGATGTTGTTCTCTTAAGAGATTGCTCGCGCTCGATTCATTGTAAACACTTTACAATTTACGATCTATATCTGCCATTAATCGCCTCTCTGCGCAAACGGTCGCACGAAAAACGGAATCATTCGCTCGCCCGTTTCGGCCACTTCATCTTTGCTATTCTCAACCATATCCTGACAATTATATATTGTGTGGATATTTTTTTTTTTGGGGGGGGAGAGGTGTCCCAGGACAGCCCCCTAATTGGAATCATCTGTCTGTCGTGCAGACATCACGTGGGATTTAATGTGACACGTCACGTGGGATTCAAGTTGCACAATTACATACTGGGTGATGGGGGGGTCAGGTGAGTGGGTAGGTGGGCGAGTAGGTGGGGTGAGGAGTAGATGGGTGAGTAGGTGGGGTGAGGAGTAGATGGGTGAGTAGGTGGGGCGAGGAGTAGATGGGTGAGTAGGTGGGGTGAGGAGTAGATGGGTGAGTAGGTGGGGTGATGAGTAGATGGGCGAGTAGGTGGGGTGAGGAGTAGATGGGTGAGTAGGTGGGGTGATGAGTAGATGGGTGAGTAGGTACGTCAGCGTGTTGGCGAGCAGGTGGGTTCGTAGGTGAGTACGTGGGTGAGTACGTAGGTCAGCAGGTGGGCGAGGTAGGTGATGGGTGAGTAGGTGGGTGAGCTTCACAAGCTTCACAATGAAGGCCCCCTTCAACTGACCAATGAGCCACGGCACGCGACCGATTTCGACAAATCTCAGAAAGCTGAGCAGGTGTTGAGCCTGGATAGTGTGAACATGAGCGACCACCAACAACACAAAGCTGTAGGCTGCTGTGGTCAGCAGATGGCAGTGCAGGAAAACCAATTGCAGTACTGTACTTCTATGTCCCCGCATATATGCACCTGGCCTTGATGAACCCTCACGGACCAGCGTGGCGAAGTATGGTCAAAACAACCGCCATATGGCGTGGGGTAGGCCCCTCATCCAGCAGTGTGTTGATGGAAGGGATTATACATTACTTGTATTGTTACATATTCACATGATCTGATCTCGGAGAAATTTTAGACGTAATGTTTCGTGTAAGCGTTCCTTTATCCTGCGTTGATTTCGCCCGAGATCTCAACCAAGCTCGTGTCGTCTCATCTACAGTGCGTTCAGCCACCATCACTGCCAGGTCTCAACAATACACTCACTCATCCACTCATTCACCCACTCACTCACTCACCAACCCACCCACCCACCCATTCACTCATCCACTCAACCACCCACTCATCCACCCATTCACTCATTCACCCACTCACTCACCAACCCACCCACCCATTCACTCATCCACTCACCCACTCACTCATCCACCCACTCACTCACCAACTCACCCACTCACTCATCCACTCACCCACCCACTCATCCACCCACCTACTCATCCACCCACTCATTCACTTTTCCACCCACTCACTCATCCATTCACTCATTCACCCACCCACTCATCCACCCACCCACCCACTCACTCACCAACCCACCCACCCATTCACTCATCCACCCACCCACTCATCCACCGACTCACTCATTCACTCACCCACTCACTCACCAACTCATCCACTCACTCATCCACTCACCCACCCACTTATCCACCCACTCACTCATCCACCCACTCACTCACCAACCCACCCACTCACTCATCCACTCACCCACCCACCCACTCATCCACCCACCCACCCACTCATCCACCCACCCACTCATCCATCCACCTACTCATCCACCCACTCACTCACCAACCCACTCATTCACTTATCCATCCACCCACTCACCGACTCACTCACCAACCCACTCACCCACCCACCCACACACTCACTCACCCGCCCACCACACCAGCAGGTCACAACACTTATCTCCCTGTCGCTTCCTTCCCTGGAAGCGTTTCACTTCGGACTTCCCTCCCAGCATCACCGCCTCTCCACGCACTCTTATCATTGCAAAATATCATAGTGCTGATTGTTGCTGGCCGCATGGAGTTTCCAGCCTTCGTACCCCAATGCTCAGCAGCCGTTATATAAATATTTTTTTAAATGTGCTTCAAGTATAAGCAACCTTCCAATGTTTTTTATACCCATCATGTGCATGCGTAATTCGTATTTATAGTCTATAAAGACATCGATCTGTTTTACCGGCAATGCCGCCTGTGGGTCATGTTATCTCCTAATTCTCACCGAGTCGAACCCCGCGACCCATTGCTCACTCGCCGTCTATCTATTTGTTCTTGTCCGTGGCACGTGAGGGTTAGTCGCAGTAGTAGCAATCAGCAGTCACGAGCGAGAGCTATACTCGATGTGGTGTGCCGGGTTCAGAAATGTGTTGTTTTGTCGCGTGTCCCACACCCCGATGATGTTAATCCCTGCGTATAATAACTACCGATATCGTATTATGAACATTGTTCTAATAATTATAATAATTATTTTTATCCCAAGTGATCAATTGGGAGACAGTATTCATTACCTACGTATGTGTGCAAAGGTATTCCAGTAAAAATACCAATCAGTGTTTTAATTGTATGTACGGCATGTAACCTTTGATCCGCTACTAAGGCAATACGTATATTCTTTACGAGAAATGTAATTCGAATCTAATGATAATAATTGCTATTATTCTGGGGGACAAATTCCTCGCGTTGTTAAACGAAAGAGTAAGTGGTGTGCACTTTATCACGATGTGAAAGTACAGCTGCCGGTTTATAATGTTTGCCGGCGGTGATTTTGTGTGTGTGTGGGCGTGCGCGCGCTTTGTAATAAACACTATTAAACATGTAAGAAAAACGACAATAAACACACGTGATTTTTTATCATCAAATTATCTCGTGCGTAACTGTGTGAATCGATTTCTTACGTCAACATACAGTATATGCGTACTGTATTGGAGATCGCATTTAGGTATTCACGTGGTCTTTCCCCGACAGCCTGCTAAGTCGTTTCACAGTAGGAGGGGGGGGGGGGCTAGAGGGAGGGGGGCCTGGTGGAGGAGTGGGGGGGCTGAAGGAGGTGGGGGGTGGGGCTGGAGGAGGTGAGGGGGGCATAACTGCCGTGCTGTATGGAATCCCGATTGAGCAAACTCATTTTGTGGGTAAACTTTTGAAATTTCACAAAGATTAGACCGTGACGCCGGCACACAATCTGAATAGTTGGAACTATTTCAGTTCCTGCAGTCATGATGCAAACAAAAAACATAACTCTGTATGCACTGTCCTTGAAGTTGATTGGTCTACACCCGAGACAGCTTTCCTTAGAGCCTAGTCTCACATGGGTTGGACCAGATGACGCCAGTTGTCAGATAGAAGGGTAAAAAAACAATTATCATATTTTTTACTGGCAAATGAGGTTCCAATGGAATTTCAGTTCCGTCTTGAGAACTCAACTCTGTAAATCGGCCTTTAACCCCCACCCCTCGCCGAGTTCAGGTCACGTGCCCTGCAGATTCTGTAAACGGGGCGACATCAGTGGGATCTACGGATGAAGTTCGCTACTTCACAAATGTAAATCATTATTGCTCATTATCATCGAATAACGTCAGGTGATCGGTTACGTGCCCACGACGGTTTGAAGCAGACGACGCGCATTTGTTTATGGTTAATGCACCCGCAGTATTAACCAGGGCGGACGCGGGGCTCGAACCACGAATCTCTGCCAACGCCTGGTAAACGCGTTACGGCTAGGCGATGTGACCCTCAATAGCCCTCGCATGCACCTGCACCCACCCAGTGGAGGACTGGGACAACAAAAAAATCGGCCCAGACATTTGTAAACAAGCCGAGCCCAAATTGCCGTATAATCTCATTGGCCCATTTGGGCTGGGTCCAAATAAAACAAATGGGCCGGTGAGGAATATTCTTTGGGGCTGCCGAAAATTGGACTCAGTGGCAACTGAGAGCGTAAACAAGCAATAGAGGGTACACGTCTAGAGGTAATACAACATTCTAACCGAAACATATCGGTTTGCTTTTGACTCTGATCACATTTGAAATTTCGATTTAAAGCTTTCGTGACTGCAGGGATTCATCTTCTTGGTTCTTTCAGTAAAGTCACGTAGAAGGGAAGTAATAAAATAATAAAAAATAAAACATAATAAAATAATTATCACGACGTTTCGGCCACAACGCAAGCAGCCGTCCTCAGGTTGCTTGCGTTGAGGACAGCTGCTTGCGTTGTGGCCGAAACGTCGTGAGAATTATTTTTTTATGTCTTATTTTTATTATTTTATTATTTCCCTTCTACGTGACTTTACCGAAAGAACCAAGAACACATTTGAAATGTCCCCACGCAGGCCGGCTCACCGGCACCTCGGAATTGACCGGCCCACCGGGCATTTGCCGGGACTGCCCCGTGGCCATTCCGGGCCTGCCTGCACCCACCCGCCTCCTCGCTCGCTCTCTCTCTCTTCCCCTTGCTTTGGACAATTTGCTTCATTAACCTTCGGTTCCTGGCAGACGTAGCGCCCATTGGCAGATCGGTGCCACGTGCATCCCTTGCGCCGCGTCGGGACGGCTGCCACTGGGAGGAGGGTAGGTCCCCTTGGGGACGGTTTGAGATGCAGCAGCGATAGTTGGGGGATCACCACACACACGCATATGTCGTGAAACTCCCTTCCCATGGGCTCACCGGGAGAAGGCGGTAGCAACAACAAAAACAAATGTGAACTCCACCTGTTCCATCGGCATGGAATTGAGTGTTTCCCCCTCGCACGCGTGGGTGGTTTCCGCGTGCTCCGATTGCATCCCACATATACAAGTGCTTATTTATCGGCCGATAACACCGTCATATATAGAGGATCGCAGAGCTTGGGCAATCGTTGGCGCCGGCTCGTCGTCTGAGCTGTTGTTACCTTCCCCACGATGGGTAATGATGGGCTGAGTGAATACAAAGTCGATATTTCAAGTCGTAACCCCGCGATGACTTGCTGTCTCTTTCTCTCTGCCGATGGGGCCACCTGGTCGGCGAACAATGGGGAACGGATCTAGGTATGAATCAATTATAATTGGCAGGAGGATGAGGCGGAGAGGGCGGAGGAGGAGGAGGAGAGTGGGGGAGGCAAATATATTACAAAACCCAAAATGAAATGAAAGAAACCACCACACACACACAAACCGGCGGAGTAAACTCTCACGTCCAGGGCGCTGTTCGCATATGAAATCAATTCCCACCACCAGTCGCCCCCCCCCTGCCCCCCTCCTCGCCCCCCTTCTCCCCCCCCCCCTCGCCCACCCCCTGGCCTCCCCCCCCTCGCCCCCCCTCGCCTCCCTCCTCGCCCCCCCAACTCTGGGCACAGGGAGTCTTTTCAACTAAGAGCAGCAAGAACAACAACAGAAAGAGACCCCCAGGTTGGCTTCTCCCCCCGCCAACCCCCGTATACATTGTGCATTATTTATTTATTTATTTCCCTCTTCGCCATTCAACAAAAAAACGGCACCCCCCCCTCCAATTAAAGGCGCGCGCGCGCGCGCGCGAGGGAGGGAGGGAGAGGGAGGGGGGAATGCGAACCAGATGCGTGCTGGAGAACTGTGGCCGTCAACTCGACGAGACCGCGGAGCGCACGAGGGTGACGCGTTAATGAGTCGCGGACTCGCATGCGACTCTATCAAAGAGGGTCTCTCTCTGTGTGTGTCTCTGTGTGTGTGTTTCACTGTGTGTGTGTGTCTCTGTCTCTCTCTCTCTCTGTGTGTGTGTCTCTGTGTGTGTGTGTCTCTCTCTCTGTGGGTGTGTGTCTCTGTGTGTGTGTCGCTCTCTGTGTGTGTCTCTCTCTCTGTGTGTGTCTCTCTGTGTGTGTCTCTGTGTGTGTGTCTCTCTCTGTGTGTGTGTCTCTCTCTCTCTGTGTGTGTCTCTGTGTGTGTCGCTCTCTGTGTGTGTCTCTCTCTCTCTGTGTGTCTCTCTGTGTGTGTCTCTCACTCTGTGTCTCTGTGTCTCTCTGTGTCTCTGTCTCTCTGTGTGTCTCTCTCTCTCTGTTTCTCTCTGTCTGTGTCTCTGTGTCTCTCTCTCGGTGTGTCTCTCGAGGTCGCCCGATGGTGACTCAGCGGGAGCTGATGGGGGTGGTGGTGGTGGAGGTGGTGGTGGGGTGGTGGTGGTAGTGGAGGTGGTGGTGGGGGTGGTGGTAGTGGAGGTGGTGGTGGGGGTGGTGGAGGTGGTTGTGGTGGGGGTGGTGTTGGGGTTGGTGGTGGTGGGTGAGGTGGTCGAGGTGGGGGCGGTGGTGGTGGTGGTGGGGGTGGTGGTGGTCGTGGGGGCGGTGGTGGTGGGGGTGGTGGGGGTGATGGTGGTGGTGGTGGGGGTGGTGGTGGTCGTGGGGGTGGTGGTGGTGCTGGAGGTGGTGGTGGGGGTGGTGGGGGTGTGGTGGTGGTGGAGGTGGGGTGGTGGTGGTGGAGGTGGGGGTTCATAATGGCCATGTCGGACGCAATAAACTACACCAGCAGTGTAAACTGCGGGTTCAGTCCTGCCCCCCCCCCCTCGTCCGTTATTATGCCCCCCCCCCCCCCGTGATTAAACCGGTTTCTCAAGCGGAGTGAACAGCGATGAGGTGATGGTCTCGGCACGGTCTTCGGTGACTCACATAGAGACCCCCACCGAGCCACGCAGCGACCCCATAGACCCACACAGCGACCCCATAGACCCACATAGCAATCCCATAGACCCACATAGCGACCCCATAGACCCACATAGTGACCCCATAGACCCACATAGCGACCCCATAGACCCACATAGCGACCCCATAGACCCACATAGCGACTCCATAGACCCACACAGCGACCCCATAGACCCACACAGCGACCCCATAGACTCACACAGCGACCCCATAGACCCACACAGCGACCCCAGAGACCCACATAGCGACCCCATAGACCCACGCAGCGACCCCATAGACCCACATAGCGACCCGTAGACTCGTATGGCGACCCGCAGATTCGCGTGTACTACAACGCAGAGACCCATAGTTGTGCACTGACTGGGTCGTGATTAGAACCGGGCTCCCATGTATACAGCGAGTCAGTGTTCAATAATTTGAGATGATTTTTTCCCATTTTGTTTGGCGCGTTGTAGAGACAAGGAAACTATCAACGACGTGACTTAAACCCCGATGAAGTGTGCTCATGACCGGCTCCGGTTTAGCAGCAGAGGTCTCACTCCGAATCAGTCGAGCGGCATTATCTTTTTATCGGTTGCGCAACACTGTATGGAAGCTACCTGGTCTCTCACTCCACACGAAGCTTCAGGTCTTCTCGGCCACAGTCATTACCTCCCGTCTCTACGCTTGCGAACCCCCCTAATGGAACATCTTCGCCGGTTAGAAACATTCAGGCTGGCCTGCCTAGGATCCATCCTGGGTTTAATCAGGCTGGATTGTGTGAGGAGCTCGCAAATCCTTGAAAGATCTGGACAAAGTCCCATCGGTGAGCTCCTCCGGCAGGCAAGGCTGCGTTGGCTGGGTCATGTAGCCCGCATGCCCAACCACCGCATGCCTAAACAGCTTTTGTTCGGCCGGATCGAGGGGGCAAAACGGGCACGGCACGGGCTAGAGAAGAGATGGAGTGATGTGGTACAAGAGGATGTGGAGCTGAGTGTACTTGCCGATGACTGGTACCAGCGGTGTCAAGATCGGCCTCTGTGGAGGAGGCTCGTGAAGGACGCTACTTGGCAGTTGGAGGCAGTCGCCCTCCAACAACAACGGAGGGCGGAGGAGCGACGCTCACAACAACGAGCGGAGCGCCGGGTGGCTAAAGCACAGCAAGTTGGCACAGTAGGGGGCACAGGTGGTGCATCAGCCAGTCATCTCAGTCAGTCGACCAGTGGCATCTGGGTCTGCCCCGTGACC